AGAGAGAAAGAAAAAAAAGGAGATACGGACAGAAAAGGAAGGCGGACGCTATCAATGAGAGTCGGCGACAATGTTTTGCTAGGAGCGCGTAGTTAAAACGAAAGAAAAGAATGGAAACTAAATATATATATATATATATATATATATATGAGGTTATGCTTTCGGCTTTCTGACCAACTTTTCAAAATCTGATCAAAAAGAAAATATATTTTTGATCGTGAGAATTTATTTTGACCGAGAATTTTTCCGCACCCCCTCATATCTCTATACAAATATATTGTCGATAGTTTATTTCGATCTTCAAAATCTGAAATTCACATCTGTAAAGGCACACCCAGATAGATAATGTGCATAAAAAGTTAAAAACACATCTATGTGTATGTATATTTATAAACGTATACATAAACGTACGTGTCTTAGACAAAAATTGACACACGTGCGTATTGAAATGTATGTGTATATGAACACAATTGTGTTTTTTTTTTCCGTATTTCGGGACAATCAAATACGCACACCCAATTTTAAAAATTAAGATGAAAACAAGTGTTCAATTTGCTTGTAAAATTATTTATGTACGTCTTCAAGATCTTGTGTACACGTAAGACAGAAATAACTTAGAACATATATCGATATATCAATGCGTAAGGCTCGACCCGATCTATATACGTCTATCTACATACATACACAATTATTTTTATGCACGTGCTTCTCTTAAGGCATAAGACATGAATATAAATACGGTGTACACAGTAGTAGCCGTAAAATGCGGGTAAGTGCGGCGAAGGCGACCAAACTTTTTCGTCAAAGACATCAAATAAATAATTGAGAAATTTATCCTGTGCGTGCATCGCGGCAAAGTAAGTAACGAGAGGGAAAAGAGCGGAGAGAGAGAGAGAGAAAAAAGGAGAAAAATGGAGAGTAGGGATGGTTGGTGGGTGTAAATGGAGAGCAAGGCGCACGGTAACGGGGACGCCGAAGCAATTAGACAACACAAATGAACGGTTTAGCGATGTGCTAAGCGCACACACGCTCACAGAATTTGAGGCAGACTGGCACAAAAGAAAGACAGATAAATAGCAATAAAAAGAGACATAGATCGATATTCAGATCAATATATACACGTACGTTTAATATATATTTCTTATATGCTTTCATACACCTCAGTACGTGCGTGCGTTTGTGCTTTGGTTAAGATCGAATCATGGTTTCTGTGCGTGTGTTCGAAAAATAAAAAGAACAGAATACTGAGACGAATACGATTTTTAAAGGTTTTAGCGACGGAAATAACTTATATTTATCGCAACTCCTTAAAAAAATATCGAAATATTAACGAATTCGATTAGAGTATTAATTTCTAATTAATGATTATTTTTTGGTAGATATTAATTTCTAGCATTTTTATGTTTGTACGACAATATTTTCATTCAAACTGCAAAAGTAAACATTAGATTGAAATTTAAGGTAAGTGGAGGAAAGAGGTATTTGAAGTTGTATTTAAAACATAAGATAATTTTTTTTTTATTTTTATGTGTCGTCAAAATGTACATTTTCAGTTTATTCGAACGGTGACCAAAAATGTATACGATAGGAAGTTGACGGGAATTAAAATTTATTTTTCTAAATCGTAATAAATAGTAAGTATGAATGAAGTGGGCGTATAAGAATTCAAGCGAACATATGTCATGCTTGAATATATCTGGAAATTTCAAATAGAGACCAAAGATTTCACCTTCCCAATTGACACGCATATGCACGGAGTGAGATAAAATGATAACCATACAAACATCTATACGGCAGCCTATACGAATCTACCTGGGTGTGTATATCATGTGACGGCAGAGATAAAAAAAAAAAAAGAAGGAAAAGTTAAGGGTAGAGATAAACGAAAAAAAAACAAAAACTTCTTTCGTTTTTCTTTTTTTTTTCTTTCTTCTTCTTTCTTAACTGTAAAAGTTTTATGTCGTCAGCCTTTGCTGCTACGGCGTCAGGGAGATTTAAGCGGCTCGATAAAATATCGGCGACGCAAATCGAACAAAAATCACCATTGAGCGATAAAACGCACACACACACACACACACACACACACACACACACACACACACACTGTTGTAATCATTCGAACACACGCACACAGACGTGTGTATAATTGAACACACGAACAAGACATCGATAAAATTCAATGCTAGAAAAAATACGTTTATTTTTTCTTTTTCTCTCGAGGGAAAAGAAAAAAAATAATTTATATAAGAATTTTAAAAACATAAATAATTTAACGTACATAACCAAAAAAAGCTAAATATATTTCGGAAATTTAAAGATATATTAAATTGTAAGTGACTAACGTTTTAAAAAAATATTTCATATGATTAATATTACTTTTTATACAAAAAAAAAAAACCTAATTTGTCTAGAGATCGATCACACTCTCTCACACGTATGAATTTTTACACAAGAAAACGGATACAAATGTTACGAAAAATTAAATTAAAAAAAAAACAATTTAAAGTAAAAAATAAATATTGACATATTCTGTACATAGATATTTCCGAAACTAAGTTTTTCGTTTTCGATTTGAAAGCCTTTAATATTATGGAGACGGCTATTCGGTGTGTGCGGGGGTAACAGAAGAAATAAGGAAAACAGAGTCAGGCAGGGTCGACGGGAGCGAATGACGGAAAGAGAAATGGGAAAACTTATATCGAAAATTACGTTTTAAAAGTAACTTTAACAAGAAATATGTATAAAAATAAATTTAAAAAAATAATCGATTCTCTTTCGTCGAAGAAAAAAAGAGAGAGAGAGAGAGAGAGAGAGAGTACACATTAATGATTTAAAAAACGAACGGTTTAAAAAAAAAAAAAAAACGGAAATCGTTTTCCGTAAAGAGAGGCGTATATGTTATATCGATCGACAGAGAAAGAAAAATTAATAACATAATCTATAAAAATAAAAAAAAAAATCAAGCTAACGTATACGAATAATGCAGAGAAAGAGAGGAATTATTTACATGAATATATACATGATATGTTATGTGTGTGTGAGTTGAGAGCTCTCTCACCAACTTCACCCCACACAAAAACCTGCTGGAAAATCGTTAAAAGAAAAAAGTAAGATTAAAATAATAAAAAAAAATACTTGTCTCTTTGCGATTGTGTAAATTGTTAGGCATCATTTTTGACGCCCCCCCCCTCTCCGAAGTACCAATCACATATATACGTCTCTCAAGCGCGCACTCACGTAATTGAAAAACATTTTTTTTCTTGTTTGTTTAACGAATGTCGATCGTTACTTGCATTCGACGGAAAATAATTTTCGCGTCATTTTTTAAAATTTTTCATTTCGTACTTTAGATATTTATTACTATTTACTCAGTCTGGCACATGGCCACAAATGTTGAGCACCTTTAATAAAGATCTTGATTTTTTTGTTATTTCTTTTTTTTACTTTGATCTGTTTATTTGAAAGACAATAAAATATTTTAAAGAAATAATCGAACACATACATACAACTAAAAAAGTGATTTAAAAAATACTGAACAAAACGCGTAGATATAATAAACAAATTTAAATTATTTGATACTTTTTTTTTTTTTTTCTTTTTTAGTGATTGATGACAAATTATCGATAAAGGACAGTTTGAATTTTTTTTTTTTAGTGATTTCTTGTTCAACAACCAGTTTGAAGGTGGAAACTTCTTTACACACACACACACACATAAACGTAAACTTTTCTCAATATTTTTTATCTTAAAAAAACAAAAAAGAACCGTAGTTGAAAATGAAAAGCCCAAAAAGTTATTCTTTGTACATACCACTGGTGAACTGATGCGGCACCCCTCACAATCACAAACTGCAGAATGTACTGTTAAAATTCCCTTGGAGAGCAATAATTTCATACTTTTCCCATGATGCCTTATGGAACGTTTCCAGTCCTTAGCGGACTCGCGACCGCTGACGTACTGAAATTCGTTAGGGGTCAGCCACGACCCCTGAAAATAGATACAGGGTCCCTTGCTGCCCTGGCACAATTTTGACAGGTACATAAGGGCTTTATTCTGCCCACATTCTACTTCAAGGATCACTTGACCATCCTGATAAATTGGTTTTAAGTATTCCTCGGCACCTTCCAAAGAGCACGTTACACTTGTGTAACCTGCGGAACCACGGTTGGAGCCGTTTCGTTTTGAGGAGTTGGTCTTCGGGGTGACAGTCGCTGCTGCGGCCACAACAGTCGCACCCGGCACTGTACTCCTTCTATCCATATTCGTATTCGTTAAATTGGTCGTCGTGGTAGATTTCAAGATACAATCAACGGTAGATTTCGTCGTAGCAGTCAATTGACTACCACTACTACCGTTGTAAGAATTTGCGCTGGTCTGGTTATTATTATTATTATTATTATTATTTGTAAAGATACCAGTCGGGGTACCACTGGTCGTGGTAGTTCCGTAATGGTGCGCTAACGGTGATGTTGGTGGTGATCCAGTATGAATACTCTTGCTGTAGAGGGCGTCAGCTCCAATAGCACCGACTAATCCAGTGTTATTACGCCTCTGACCCGTCGTCGTCGTCGTCGTCGCCGCCGTCGTCGTCACCGTGTTATTGTTGTTGTTGTTAGCACCGCTACTGCTGCTGCTGCTGCTACTGACGCGGCTACTGCTAGTAATTCTGATCGAAGCCGTGCTGTTGTTGTTGTTGTTGTTGGGGTGATGGGGGTGATGGTGATGGTGGTGGTGATGGTGTTTCGCCCCAGCGGTCACAGAACTTTGCGTGTGTGCGGCTCCCCCGTTGCTAGCCGTAATAATCTGACTCGGCAGAGGCAGCGGTAGGGGTAAGGGTAGCAACGGTAAAGGGAGTGGAAGAGGATGTGGCGGGAGCGGGGAACAACCGAGCGGAGGAGGAGGAGGAGGTGGAGGAAGGAGGCCCGGGGGAGGGACGGGAAGCGGGATGGAAGCGGCGGCGGATGGAAGGGGAGGCGGCGGAGACGAATTAGAAGAGGAGGAAGAAGTAGATATTGAAGAGGAATTACTGGAGGAGACCGAAGAAGAAGGCGAAGGAGAGAAAGAGGAGGTGGAGGTGGGTGCAGGTGGCGGCGGCGGCGGGAGAAACGAAGGAAAGCAACACGGAGCCGGGCCGAACACGAAGGGTGAGGTGGCGGCGGCCGCCGCAGCTGCAGCGGCGGCGGCGGCGGCCAACGAGGGACACAGGGTCGGGGACGAAGGTGAGGTGACTTGTCCGCAGGAGCAAGGGCAAGATGTTGCCCCCTGCGGACAGCTAGAAGAAGTTTTTGCCGCCGAGTTGACTGGGGTCGTGCGCTCCGGTGTGGTTTGGGGCGTCGACACGGCACCAACGGCTAAAGTTGCGGACGTTGTTGTTGTTGTTGTTGTCTCCGTACTGAAACCACACGCCTTTATAGGACTTGCTGGTGCACCTATCTTAATATTATCTTCGTTAGTAGCGAATTTATTGTCTGTATAACTGACGGCTTCGCTATCGCTGTTTGCTCTGGCAGCAAGTTTAGGAGTCGGGGATATGTTTCTGCTTGAAACACCACGATTAAAATGATTATTTTTATTAGTGAAATTATTTAAATCGTTCAGCGTACGATTATTGGTCGAAGTATTTGTTCTCTTTGCGTTAGTTTTTAGAGTTGTGGGGGTTGTAGTCGTATTGAAAGTTGCAATAAATGAACTTGAATTGGTTGTAGTGTTTATTGTGTGTGTTGTTGCTGTGTTAGCCGCGATGTTGTTTGTGTCGCTGGTCCTAACGTCCGAGTCGACGAAATTTGTAACTGAATTAGCGGTGAATGTATTATAAAACGGAGCAGTCGACAGGGCAGATGGAGCTGGTGGTCGATCAGTGATCAGGTTAATTCTGGAGCTGATCCCTAACTCCGGCGAATATTGGGATGGGGGTGAGGGACAATTTGAAGAGGTCGGGTGGGTTAGTGACAAAGACGAAGCAGTGGGTGGGACTGGTGGGGTTGGGGAATAAGTAGAGAAGGCAGGTGCCGAAAGCGACTGAGAAAAATTTGTTAAAACTGGTAGGGTACCCGATCCAGGTGTTGGGGTTGTTGTTGAGGGTGGTGGTGGTGGTGGTGGTGGAGGTGGTGTATGTGAGGTTGGTAGAGGAGGTGGTGAAGGTGGTAGTGGCGGTGGTGGCGGTGGTGGTGTTGGAGGTGGTGGCGGCGTTGACGTTACAGACATTTCGCCGGCAGAGGAAAGAGGGACTGAGGAGAGTTTCGTTATATCGTCGGCTGTTGTTGAGGTCTGACACCCAGCGCTGTGGTCATTAACATCTTTATAGTCAGTGCCTTCATTATTTGTAAAATCATTAGCAGTATTAGTCGAAGTTGTCACACTACTCATGTTCGGTGTTAGACTTTGAGACATGGCAAAATCATTTGATTCATCCGTGACGGGTGGTCGCTGCTGCGCACCTTGACGTCGTCTCAATCGACGGGGTGAATTGTAAGTATCGCCCGAGTTAACTTTATTTTCAACTTTACTATTTGCGTTTGTATCTAAGTCCGTTTTTGACACAAAGTTAGTGTCGTTTTTCGTATCCTGATAGCTTCCACATTTCTCATCCATAAAATCAGAACGTAAGTTTTCGGTGTTGTTAGGTAGAGAGGCTAAATCCACGCCATCAGGGCCAGTCAGGTTAATTTTGCGGGAATTGTCAGTGTTGTTAAAGTTTCCGTCCTTACTAGTGTTGTGTGCAGAAGTTGTAGTCAGGGTCTTTACAGAACCAATGGTGTTGCTTTTAGCTTCGTTTTTATTTTGAATGTTTTGTTGTTGTTGTTGTTGTTGTCGTTCGGAGCGGGTCTGGCGTTTACTGGTCGGGTAGGTGTGAAAAGCTTGTGGGTAGGTTGAATTATCACTGAGTTGAGACCTTTGCTGGGTGTTCCTCGAAGGTCTGATGCGGTCGCTACGTCGGTGTTGCTCTACTCTTTCAACTAGGGAACTCGAATTGACAGTAGCAGTCACATTGTGGTTGGAGTTGTTATGATTGGTCATAGTGGGAGAACATTCTCCACTGTCCTCAGTATTATTTATTCCAATATTTACGGCAGGAGCTGCGGTGGTTTCGAATTTTGAAGGGTCACCCGGGGCGCAAATCGTTGAAGTTGCTAATGAAGAAGACGAAGAAGAAGAAGAAGAAGAAGAAGAAGAAGAAGAAGAAGAAGAAGAAGAAGGGTTAGGTGACGCTGAAACGTGTGTGACCGTGCGACAAGGTGACAATGATTTAGATTCAGTGGTTGTGGTTGTTGTTGGTGTTGTATTTCCTTTCTGTGACAAGGAGTTCGATCTTAGGGTGAAGTTTTTATTTACGGGTGGCGATAAGGGTCGCGTTAGCTCTGTGTGGAGTCTATGGTTACTCTTATTGTTGTGGTTGTCATTGTTTGAGTAATAGTGCCAGAAACTGTCAATGTCACTAGTTGGAGTTGGTAGGTACTTATTGTAGTTATTGTTGTTGTTATTGTTGTTGTTGTTGTTGGCGGCGGCGGCGGTATTTGCGGGTGTCGAAGAGGTGGTGGTGGAGGAACGGGTCGTAGTCGGGTGAAGATCTCTTTTACTGCTGTTCGAAGCTTTCTTTCCCATGTTGTGAAGAGGAGGTTAATTCGCGTTCTCCCGTCAAGATGCCCTACAATTAAGTAACTGACTGTCTGTCTTTTACTCTGAATAAGAGAGTGCGCGAGAGAGTGAGTGAGAGAACGGGCCAGTGAGAGAGGAAATGAGTGAGCAACTGATATACTGAGGGAGAGAGTTACTTCTCAGAACTGAAAAAAAAGTGAGTGGAGGTGGGGCTGATAGGACGAGGTATGGTTGGATAGTTACATGGATGAAGAGAAGGCCAACGTCGTCGGCGAGTCTCATGCCCCTCCTCCTCCTAACACCTTACTCTTTTTTGTTCTTTTTAATACTTTTTGCTTTCTTTTTTTTCTTTGTAAATTTTTATTTCATTTATTCATTTTTATTCATTTATTTTTGCTTCTTGCATTATTATTATTATTATTATTATTATTAAAACTGTTTTTTATAAAACAAACAATAGGGTAAATAAAGGGATTAAAATATCGATAAATCAATACGGGCAAAATGATCGGAAAACTTTATTATCTTGTTATCAACTTGTTATTATTACAATGTTTTCAAAAAATTATATATTTATATTGTTACATTGTAAATTCTTCTTCTTCTTCTTCTTCTTCTTATCATTATTATTTCATTTATTTATTTATTTTAAATGTTTCTTCTTCTTCTTCTTCTTTTCATTTTTTCTCTTAATATTTAAAAAAAAACATTTTATTGCTTCGAGAAAAAAGGTCTTTCAACGTCTTTTTTTACAGGCTTTCATTTTCAATTCTTTTTCTTTATTCTTCAATCTCATTCTTTCGCCCCACCTATGTATTTTTATCTATTCACGGTCAATATGTTTGAGGCTTTTCTTCCTTTTTTTTTATCTGTCTTTTCTATCTATTTTGATTCATATGTGTATATATATATATATATATATATATATATATATATATATATATATATATATATATATATATATCAATACACACACACACAACAGACTGCTCATATATGTCCATTTTATTTTTCATGACTATCTGTTTATTGCCGTCTTTCTCTATGTACATACATCCACACATACATATACTGGTAATATCTCAGTTTGTCCATATCTATCTATCTATCTATCTATCTATCTATCTATCTATCTATCTATCTCAATTTGTTCATATCTATCTATCTATCTATCTATCTATCTATCTATCTATCTATCTATCTATCTCAATTTGTTCATATCTATCTATCTATCTATCTATCTATCTATCTATCTATCTCAATTTGTTCATATCTATCTATCTATCTATCTATCTATCTATCTATCTATCTATCTATCTATCTCAATTTGTTCATATCTATCTATCTATCTATCTATCTCAATTTGTTCATATCTATCTATCTATCTATCTATCTATCTATCTATCTATCTATCTATCTATCTATTACATCCTTGAGTCTTTTTGGGAGTAACCTTTCGAGTTCTTTTTATTTTCTTTCTTTCTTTCTTTCTTTCTTTCTTTTTTTCTTTCTTTCTTTCTTTCTTTCTCCACCTCCCTTTTTTTCCTCCAATAACCGCCGCCGCCGTCACCGCCATTTCAATCCAACATTGGCCTTCGCACCGTGTTTACGTCCGCGTGTGTGTTTCGTCGCCTCTGTGTCTGTGTGTTCGAATCCGTGACTGCGTTACCATTTCTTCAACTCCCTGGCAGTTCGGGCACCTCCACCCCAAACCGCACCCTGCTATCGTAGATTTTCCAACGGCAACCCACCCACACACCGCTTCCTTCTCTTTATCTTCCCCCGCTCTTCGTCTCACCCTAACCTTTTCCCTAACCCTGAAACCCCGGACACCACCCTCGGCACATCCTACCGAAATCTTACGGCGTATATGTTCCTAGCGGCTTTTCTTACCCACCTCGTCGTTCGTTGTCCCTCCCCTTCATCACCTCTTTATCCCCCTCTCTCGAAGATTCTACTCTCTCTCTATTCTCCCCACACCAACCGTTTCACTCACGTTGTAAACCAACTCTTGCTCGCTCTTTCTCCCTTTGAATTGCTGAGAAGGTTTAACTCTCACACACTCTCTTACTTACCATGTAGATGCAGATCCGTTTTATTGTCCGTTACCCACTCCCCACACACACCTCTCCATCACAACTCTCTCCCGCCACCATGGCTTTAAGGGCGAACATTAGGAACACACACACACACACACACACACACACACACACACACACACACAGGTATAATGTAAAACTCATTTATATAATCATAACGTTGCTGAATTTTATACTATATATATTTTTATATATATATATATATATATATATATATATATATATATATATATATATATATATATATATCGACACAAAAAATTGTCATGTGTATATATGTGTAGAAATACATACATATATGAGATGTACATATTATTATGAACAAAAAAAATTAAGTAAACATATTGCAAAAAAGTATTTTCAGAGAATTTTAAACAAATCGAAGTAAATATATAAATATATGTATGTGTGTAAGTGTATGCGTGTATATGTATCTTGTATTTAAAAATGTATGTGTTTATTATTTAAAAGTGTTGCGTATAAGGTTTTTCCGAACAAAAATAGGAATCACTCGCACACATATGTAATATATGTTTAAAAATATGTGTGCATACCGTGTGTAATTTGATAAACAATAATCTATCTATCTATCTATCTATCTATCTATCTATCTATGTGTCCGATTGTACATACACATATACATATGTACAATCTGACACACACAAACATACACACACACACACATATATATATATATATATATATATATTGCTAAACGCGTGCCCGCAGAGAGATTAATAAATAAACACGTTTTATTCGAATATCTACACTGATGTATGTATATTGTAGACATTTGTCTGTCGCTTTGGAAGAGCAGACGTACACATCCATGTGTAAAAATACACAAGCATGTGTATTTTTACACAGTGATTCGTAGAACACATGAATCTTCCGTTTCGAACCTATGGACAAATGCTGTCAAAAATGTGTACACACTATCACACCCACATGCTTAATGACAGAAACAAAACCCGATCAACGTACACAGGCAACTATGACAAAATGTATCTTAATTTTACACGTAAACACCCGCTCGTATATACCATATGTCTGTATGTATATAATGTGTATTGATTAAACCGAAACGCTAGTACATTATATATATATATATATATATATATATATATATATATAGATGTATGTATATCTATATAAATATCTGATTGTATATGAATATATATGTATATATGTATAAATATATATGTATATATATAAAATATATATATAAAATATTGCTGATTGATTCTAGGCGTGATTATTTCTTCGTATATAAATATCTATCTATCTATCTATCTATCTATCTATCTATCTATATATATATATATATATATATATATATATATATATATATATATATGAGTGCTTAGAAACACGCACCTGATTTCAAACAATTGCTGAAATGAATTAATAAAGATAGCTTAAAATATACACGGAAAACCTCTCATAGACGCTTACACAACGGCAAATTGTACACACCAACGATTAAACTTATAGAAAAAAAAAAATTTCTAGATGGTGTGTGTGTGAATTCACTGAAATAAACTTATATACCTCCTAACGGAGACCTATACATACGTATGTATATATATATATATATATATATATATATATATATATATATATATATAAATGGTGTAATAACATGCACACACAAACACACGAATAGAATACGTAGTTATGAGTAACAGGAGAAGCAAGCATTGCGAATATCAAATACGCATAATGAAACCAAGATAGTCCACACATACAGACACACTTACGCACGCACACACTCCAATAAGAGAAATCTTCGTACACACAGACACAGGCTGACACTCGTACGCAGCTACACGGACGGCAAAAGCAATAGCTGTGGTGGCGGGGTCGGGTAAAAGAAGATGGGGAGAGTAGAGTAGCAAGGAGGCGTCGGTAGAAATCGTGATGACGGCGGTCGAAAAGATGGCGGAGGCGGCTTCGTACGGCGACGACGGTGTAACCGGGTTGTGGGGTTGTGGTGATCGTTGGAGGAGACGAAGCGCGGCGAGGTGGCGGCTTGAACAGCAAGCCGCTGGTGGAAGAGGAAAGACAAGGAGAGTAAGTAAGGAGAGTAAGGAGGAAATGGAGGGAAGAGAAGAGGTTGGTTGTGGAAGGGGATTGAGGTGAGGGTAATGGCGGCCGCGTTGAGGTTTGGGCGAGGTGCCGGAAAGTGTGGGGAGAAGTGGTCGTTGGGTAGGTGCGGGCGGAGGGCGGCTTTTGGAAAGACGGGAACAGAGGCGGTGCGCGGTGACGGTACGGTGTAGGAGGCTGATGGATGGAGAGCGGGCCGGGTTCGGAGGTTGGTACTGGTTGTAGCGGGAAGGTTGGGGTTGTTAGGGCGCGAAGAAGCAAGGAAGCGAAGAGAGGCGGGTAGCGGCGGTAGAGGGCTTACGATGATCGTGGCGCGGTATCGAGGTGAGGTGGTGGCGGCGGTAGAGAGAGGGGAGACGGCGGAAAAGGTGACGGGGTTTGGATGTGGAGGAAAAAAAGGTAGACCGTTGGAGGTGGATGGAGGAAAGATGGCTGGGTTGGGGGTATGGAAAATGGGCAGTCTTGCGAAAAGAGTAGGAAAAACAGTAAAAAAAATATTTCAGGACACACACAAAATATATATATATATATATATATATATATATATATATAAATAAAATATATATACGCACATACACACACACACACACACACACACACATATATATATATATATATATATATATATATGAACTGCAGAGGGGGCGGAGAGAAGATGAGGAAAGTAAATAGACTGATGATGGTGTGGGGTCGTTGCAT